TTTTTTCGGCAAAAATTTTGTTTTTTTGAAAATTTTGGCCCGTTTGACCTTGAAATAAAGGTCAAAGGTCAAATCCAAGGGCATATTTGAAATCTACACATATGACTTTTGGAAAGCTGTCTGTAGAAATTTTTCCCATAATTCCTTCCGTAGGGGAGATAATTAGCATTTAATTTTGCCATTTTTGGACAAGGGTGCATTGCAATGAGTGCCACACCTAGACCCCAATACCGACAAAGCCCAAATTTTACGTGGAACGAGTTGAGATTATAGGTGACCTAAATCCAAGAGATGGGTATGGAGGCCCTTACCGTCTAGGAGGAGAAGCGGTAACGGTGACTTGGCGGCGGAGCCGCAGGAGCCGGCGGAGCTGCAGGAGCCGGCGGAGCCGCAGGAGCCGGCGGAGCCGCAGGAGCCGGCGGAACATACGGGTCGGGACTAAAACCATGAGTACCGCCAGCGCCTACGCTGGTGGTACAAATAGGAATGAATTATATTGTACACATATTAAACCATCAAGGTCTGAGTTGAAAAAAAAATGTTCATTAGCATTCTCACCTGGTCTTCTGTGGTATTCATTGTAAATTCTATCCCAAGCTGACATGGGTTTTTCTTCCTCTTCTTCCTCCTCCTCCTCAACTATCGTCCCTTTACTGGGACCACACTCCAATACAATATCATTGGTCTGATCATAGGCTGGCATCTTCAGACGTTTCATTTTGGGTGGTGCAGATGGAGTGGATGGTTTAGAAGAAGATGGCTGACCTACAGTTTTCTGCGGAGTCATGCCTGGTTTGAACCTGACATCCCCTGGCAGGTACGTCTTTGCTGATTGTTGAGGTTCCTCTGAATCTTCTTCCATTCCAGGCACATATCTTGCATCCCCAGGTAAATATCTCTTTTTCTGCATAGGGGTTCCTGGAGGTTTTGTCTTTTCTTTGCTTGTGGATTTCGAGTTGGTAGGCAAAGATGGCTTTGAAGGCTGTGAAGACTGTGACTTTACCTTAGCTGGCTGTGCCTCAGCCTGTTTCTGTTGTGCAGAAGCATCTGGTAATGCAGAATCTTTTTTCTGGGTCATCTTTTTATCTTTGCCTTTGCTTTTTTTGTCTGCTGCTGATGATGGGGGAGGTTGTTGTGGCGGTAAGGGTTTTCCATACTTAATCCAATCTTGATATTCTTTTGTTGAAGTTCTTGCTAACCTATCCTTCTCTTCCTGAGTCATTGGTCTGGCCTCGGCCTCCTTTTTTGACTTTTCTTTTGGCACGGCAGTCTTGACTGGCTCATGTTGTTTAACAGAAGCCAGTTTAAGTAAATCTTGGAAGTTCATTGGTGGGGGACCTGGTGGACGTTTGGGTTTTACCTTAACCTCTGAGGATTTGATTTCAGTTGCATTTGAGACTTCTTTTTCATTCTTTATTGATTCATTAGATTTGGCATTACTATGAGTTTGTCTATGATTGTCTCTGTGTTTATCATGCCTATCTCGTTTGATGTCTTTATGCTTATGGCTACCATGCACATGCTTTTCATTTTCATGACTTTTGTCGTCTCTATGCTTTGTGGATTTATTTTTATCTGCCTCCTCAGCCTCTCCCTTTTCTTCTTTTGCACTTTTGGGTTGTCTACTGTTTGCTGTAGTAGGTTTACTTAGCATTGCCTTGGCCTTTTCCTGTAACATTTTTCTGTGCTCTTCCAGTTGTTCTTTGTTAAATGTTTTGGGGACATCTTTGGTGGTTCGTGCCATGGCATTGGCCTTTTTGTTATGACGAGCATCAGCACGTGCTTTAAGTAGCTCTTCTTTCTTCTTCTTGGCCTCTAGAGCTGAACAGAAAAGAAAACAACTTCTGTACTAAAAATAGAAGACAATATTATTATGCTGTTGACTGACATCATTCAATGTTTAACTGCATGCTGCAGCCACAAAACATATAATGCTCTAAATCATTTATAAAAAGAAGGGGAAAAATACAAATTATATGCATGGTACTTTCTCATGCACAGTCACAGTGTATTGACAAATAAAGTACCAGTCTATTTATGTTATCACTGTTTATATCTTTTAGGGTACTAAAAATTGATAATATTATTATTTCCCCATAGCGATTAAGCAAAACACAAATTTTCTCATAATGTTCGGCAAAGATACACGCCACTGGCTTCAGATAGAGAAAATTGTCTGAAGTGGCATTCACAACAGATGATTCCTTGGACTAACTAGTCCATGGATCAAATATGGCTGATCCCACTTGAAGAAATGCAGCATTATCCCCTAATGGTCTCCCCACCAGCCACATGTGCCACATCCCTGCAGGGGCCTAGCAGTTAAATTTTGGGGCCACATTAATTCAGCTCTAATTGCTCTGCCCCAGCAGGGATGGAGTGTGTGGTAGTGTGTGGTAGGAAACCATTAGAGGATTGTGCGGCACTGCTTTCAAATGGGGTTGGCAATTAATATTTGATTTGTGGACTAGTCATTTCGAGGACCATCTGTTGTGAATGTCATGGTCTATAATAGTATATAAGGTCTACCAGTATATAATGCTGAAACAAAAGTGG